TTCAAGAGAGGAGAGGGAGGAGTTTTAAAACAAATCCTGCAATAAATTTCAGGATTTGAAATTTTGGGAGGGAGTTTTTATTTGAAATTAATTTTTTTAATTTCAAATTGAGGGGGGGATTAATGGAGCAATTAATGAGGGGAAAGCCTAGTAAGGCCGGCGGCATCAAGAGGGAGAGGAGAGGATGTGGAAGCAAGTTACAAACCTTCCAAATTTGCTTGTGTGCATGAGGAGGTTTGATTAAGAGATCCACCTTGATTCGAATTTCGAATTGTTTTGAATTTGAAAACTTAGGTGAATACGAAGGAGAAGATAGAAAACCTAACCACGAGCCGCGGACTCTTCCTACGACTGGTGGGCCTTGCAATTTGCTCCCCTTGAGCTCTCTCCCTTCTCCAGCTCTCATGCAAGAAGAAGAAGTAGAAACACACAAATTTTCATTCAAATATTAATTAGCTATTACAAGAGAAAAGACCCGTATATATAGGTCTCAAGCATACAAGAAGAAATAAAGACTAAATTGCCCTCAGGGCCCCAACATGACTCAACTCAACATAAGGGTACAAAAGGAATACATAAAACAAAATGCATAATAACTAAAAATATAAGCTCTGAATCGTGGCCGTCGATATGCGATGCTTCCGGCGATACACCTGTTTGAACCTTGGACCGATGTCCTCATCAAACCTGATGCTTGCATATCATGGTAATTCATTATCATCAACATAATGAAAATTAATACTTTTAGAAACTATATTTTTCAATGGTTTGCCTAAATCTAAACATAGCAGAAAAAACATTATGAGATTTCTTTTGCCAGTAAAGCAACAGATGTCTCTAGCTTTTATTTATTTTTTTTAATCATAGACAAGAAAAGAAAAATAATCCACGAGCGCACACAATACTAGAGAGTAGTCATGTCTGATTTAGGCATGGTAGATCTGATGGAATCAAAAAATATATGGGAGCCTATATTTTTTTATAACAAGAAGAAAATTGACTTCCTATATAAAAGAAGACACAAAATACCTCAAAAAGAAGAGATAACTTAAATAAGACTAAGCAGCGGAAATTAATACTACAAACGTTGATTTTAATAACTTAAACTCTTACAAACGACTCCAAATAAAATTATAAAAAAAAAACCCTAAAGTTGCTTCACTTAGAAAAGAGAGATACAGGTGGAGTGGCACTTGCGGAGAGACGAAGAGATTAGAAGCCAAGAAGAAGGGTGGAAAGAGCCCGCAGGTTTTCCGGAGGGGATGAGAAAGAAGAACGGACAAAGCT